AGTGGTGTAGGTCCACGCCCCGGAACCAAACCCAGGCTGCCAAAGCAGAGTGCAGCGACCTTGACCACTAGGCCATGGGGCCAGCCCCACTAATCTACTTTTTGTCCCTATGCATTTTTCTATTCTGGACATTTCATGTAAATGGAATCATAAAATATGTAGTCTTTTATGTCTCGCTTCTTTCACTTAGCATAATGTTTTCAACATCCATGTTGTAGCATGTATCAGTATTTCATTCCTTCTTATAACTGAATAATATTCCATTGTGTGGATATACCATTGTTGTTTATCTATTAATCAGTTCTTGGACATTTGGGTTGTTTCTACTTTTTGGCTATTATGAATAATGCTGCTATAACATTTGTACACAAGATTTTTTGTGGATATATGTTTTCAATTATCTTGAGTGTATACTGGGAGTGAAAGTATTGGGTCATATGATAACTCTATGTTGAACTTTTTAAGGAACTACCAGTCTGTTTTCCAGTGGCTGTGCCATTTTATATTCCTACCAGCAGTGTATGAGCAGTGATGATTTCTGCACATCATCACCAACGCTTATTGCCTTTTTATTACAATCATCTTCGTGGGAGTAAAGTATCTCATTGTGGTTTGATTTGTATTTCCTTAATGGTAGATGATGTTAAACATCTTTTCATGTGTTTATAGGCCATTTGTATATCTTCTTTGGAGAAATGTCTATTCAGATCTTTTGTCCAGTTTTTTAAATTATTTTTTTGAGGTAACAATGGTTTATAACATTATATGAATTTCAGGTATACATCATTATATTTTGATTTCTGTGTAGACTACATCATGTTCACTACCTGAAGTCTAATTACCATCTGTCACCCTACCCCTGTGCCCTTTAACTCCTTTAGCTCTCCCCCTCCCCCTTTCCCCTCTACTAACCACCAATCTATTCTCTATGACTATGTTTGTTTGTTGTTGTTGTTTTATCTTCCGCATATGAGTGAAGTCATACGGTACTTGGCTTTCTGTGTCCAACTTATTTTGCTTAGCATAATACCCTCAAGGTCCATCCATGTTGTCACAAATGGCAAGATTTTGTCTCTTTTTATGGCTGAGTAGTATTCCATTGTATATATATACCACATCTTCTTTATCCATTCATCCATTGATGGGCACTTAGGTTGTTTCCAAGTCTTGGCTATTGTGAATAAGGCTGCAGTGAACATAGAGGTACAACTATCTTTATGAATTAGTGTTTTTGTGTTGTTTGAATAAATATCCAGCAGTGGAATAGCTGGATCATATGGTAGTTCCACTCTTAATTTTTTTGAGGAATCTCCATACTGTTTCCATAGTGGCTGCACCAGTTTACATTCCCACAAGCAGAGTATGAGGGTTCCCTTTTCTCCACATTCTCTCCAACACTTGTTATTTCTTGTCTTTTTAATAATGGCCATCCTGACGGGCATGAAGTGATATTTCATTGTAGTTTTGATTTGCATTTCCCTAATAATTAGTGATGTTGAACATCTTTTCATGTGCCTGTTGGCCATCTGTATATCTTCTTTGGAAAAATGTCTGTTCATATCCTTTGCCCATTTTTTAATTGGGTTGTTTGTTTTTTTGTTGTTGAGTTATAAGGGTTCTTTTTATAGTCTGGACATTAAACCCTTATAAGATGTGTGACTTACACATATTTTCTCCCGTTCTGTAGGTTGTCTTATCACATTCTTGCTATGTGCTTTGATGCCCAAAAGATGTTTGTTTTTATGAAGTCTAATATATCTATTTTTTCTTTTGTTGCTTGTGCTTTTAGTGTCAAATTTAAAAATCCATTGCCAAATTTGAGGTCAGGAAGATTTACTTCTATGTTTTCTTCTAAGAGCTTTACCATTTTAGCTCTTATATTTAGGTGGTTGATTCACACTGAGTTAATTTTCATGTATGAAGTGAAGTAGGGGTCCAACTTCATGGTTCTGCATGTGGTTATCCAGTTGTCCCAGCACCATTTTTTGGGGAGACTATTCTTTCTCAGTTGAATGGCATTGGCACTATTGTAAAAACAGTCAATTGACCATAGATGTTATAGTTTATTTCTAGACAATCAATTCTAGTCCATTGGCCTATATGTCTATCCTTATGCCAGAACCACACTGTTTTGATTACTCTAGTTTTGTAGTAAGTTAGGAAGTGGGAGTCCTCCTTCTTTGTTTTACTTTTTTCAGTGCTGTTTTGGTTATTTGGGCCCCCTTGTAGTTGCCTATGAATATGAGGCTGGAATATTCCATTTCTGCAAAAAAGACCATGTGAATTTTGATGGGAATTGCACTGATTCTGTAGATCACTTTAGGGAGTATTGCCATCTTAACAATATTAAGCCTTCCAATCTATGAACATGAGATGAATTTTCATTTATTTAGGTCTTTATTAATTTTTTAAGCAATTTTTTGTATTTTTCAGTGTACAAGTCTTTCACTCTCTTGGTTATATTTTTCCTAGGTATTTTATTCTTTTGGAATATTGTTAATGGAATTGTTTTCTTAACTTCTTTTTCTGATTGTTTTTTACTAGTTTATAGAAGCACAACTGATATTTGTGTGTTGATCTTGTACCCTGCAACTTTGCCAAATTTGTTTATTAGCTCTAATAGTGTTTTTGTGGATTCTATGGGATTTTCTATATATAGAATCATGTCATCTGCAAACAGAGATAGTTTTAGTTCTTGCTTCCTAATGTGGGTGCCTTTTATTTTGTTTGCCTGCCTAATTGTTCTGGCTAGAACTTCAGTACAATATTGAACAGCAGTGGTGAAAATGGACATCTTTTTCTTGTTCCTGATCTTAGTAGGGAGAAGCTTTCAGTTTTTCACCATTGAGTATGATGTTAGCTGTGAGTTTTTCATAAATGCTCCCCTTCTTTTCCTAAATTGATGAGTGTTTTTGTCATGAAAGTGTACCGAATTTTTTCAAATGTGGCTGCATCTATTGAAATGATTATGTGGGATTTTCCTTCATTTCATTAATGTGGTGTATTACAGCGACTGAGTTTCTTATGTTGAACCCTCTTTGCATTTTTGGGATAAATCCCTCATTGTCATGGTGTATAATCCTTTTAATGTACTGTTGGATTTGGTTTGCTGGTATTCTGTTGATAATTTTTGCTTCTATATTTATAGAAAATATTGGTCTGTAGTTTTCTTGTGGTATCTTTGTTTGACTTTGGTATCAGGGTAGTGCTGACCGTATAGGATGTGTTGGAAAGTGTTCCCTTTGCTACTATTTTTTGGAAGCATTTGAGCAGTATTGTTCTTAATTCTCCTTTAAATGTTTGGCAGGATTCACCAACGAAGTCATCTGGTCCTAAATTTTTCTCTT